AATCCATGCACATCTGGAGATTGCACTTGAACAGCATAATAGGAAATTTCAAAAGACGGAAAAAAAAATTGTTCTTTTAACAATCTCCTTAGGACCTTATGTGAATAACGTTCAATTGGATATAGTACAAGTTGTGAAAGCAAATAAAGCACAACAGGACTAATAAACACTCCTTTGTCTTCTATTTTTATGAAACTTCTTTTATGTTTAAAAAAAATTTTTATTTCAGATTACTGTACATCCAAGAATGAAGAAGTTGGTCGATTTTTATAAGTTGCAATGTCCCTGAGAATAGTGCGCGGTGGGTGAATGCATGAGTTTTTAAGTTTATATAGAAGTAGAAAAAAATTTTTGCAATTTAGTTTGTTTTTAATTTGTTTTTCTTTTCGCCCGCTAATCTTTTGCTTTATTCTCTTTCTCCTTATTATCTCTTAATAGTGGTTTTTCTCTTTTTTTTTTCATTTTCTTTTTGCTTTATTTTTACGATAAAAAAAAATAAATCTAAAGTAACAATGGGGGTCTGAAAATTGAAAAACTATACTTGTAAAAGACCTTCATACTTATAAAAATTCATGACATAAAATTTGTTAATAAAAACAAAAAAAAAAAAAAAAACAAAACCATTCTTTGGTTAGCAGACCTCAGCTAAGATTTTCTTCTAAAACAAGAGGTAGCAATTTTAAATAAAACCAAAATGTACGGAAAAAAGAAAAGCATTGAAGAAATACAAAAGTCTCACGACATGATGTTGAATTTTCTTAAAACATTGTTTGAGAGCACACACACATGTGTATGGGAGTATGTTTATATGTAAATGTGTTATAATGCATATAGCTAGTAATTGTTAAAAGTAATTGTAATTCTGTGGTTTTATTATGTAGCCATAGTGAAGGTGATAAGCTTTCCGTGAGGTTGCAAACTTATTTATTTTTTTTCTATACGTATAATGTGAAATGCAAAATAGAGTTGTGAGCATTTCTGCAACGGAATTTCTTTTTTTTTTTAAAAAATCTTTCGTATTATTTTTTTTTCGTTCTAGTTCCGGTGTTTATGGGTTTTCCTCTTTTTTCTTTTCTTATTTAATTTAGAGATATGTAGGTATTTTTGGTTGAATATTTTTTTTTTAAATATTCAAATTAATATAAATCTACTAAATATACTCATGGTTTGTACAAAGTTGATTTACTAGTTGATTCTGACAGAGAAATCAAGAAATTTTACGGTTTGTTAAAATTGTTATGACAGTAGTAATATTGACAATGACAAATTTGAGAAATTTAATATATGAATTGAGTTCCCGCTTCTTTGAATATTCAACAAAACTGAATAAATTTGAACTTTTGCTTTAAAAAAATTTTAATTTCTCCAATATGAAAGGGAAGGCGCATCATCGTTTTAAATTGTAAAACAAAATTCAAGTGTGTTCTGTCAAAGTTTCATTCAAAATTTTGTAATTTTTTTTTTAAAGCTTACCTACTTCATCATTATTACAGTGAATAAGATTTTACTTTATAACCGCTTATAATCACTTAATATTTAAATAATTAAAACGCAAATCATGTTAAAAATTTTTCATATTTTCTTCTTAAATTCTCATAAGTTAATTATGTAAATTAACGCAAGGTGGCCCAAGTTATCATTTTAATTCATATATAGAATGTACAATTAAAATTCATAAAATTTTTGAAATAGCTATAATAAGAAAATTTTTCTGATTCTTTTGTTCTTTTATTGAAAATAAAACAAAAAAAAATTTTATTTTTATATTAAAATTAAAAATTACAAAATGTTATCAAGATGGTAATAAAATTATGAAATAAAAAAGAAATGTTTTAATGAATTGTTTTGTTATTATACGCGATAGTATAAAAGAAATTCTTAAATTATTATTAATTATTGTATAACAAAGGCGTGCAAATATTTTAAAAATATGATAACTATTTTAAATAGTATAATAATGGGGTAAATATACATACATATTATAACATAATTAAAATGAAAATTTGTTTGAATTCAAGACGAATTTATTTTAAGTTTCTCAAGTGAATCGAAATTTCACTTGGAATTTATTTTATATTTGTAGATTAATTTTTGAGAAAGCCATAAATTGCGTTTAATTTCTTCAAATATTTTTTTTCATATACTGACAAAAAAATCTTGATTTTGGAGACGGATTACGTTCGTAATTATTTAGCATTTCTTAAAATATATAACTGTTTCACGTACGCACCTCCGTAATATAAGTAGGTAAATATTTAATTTTTAAACTGGTGCAAATGAAGGATCACTTATTATTTATAATTGTTGAAACTCGATATTATTTATGTATTAGACTGTAAATAATTATCCAAAATATTATTTTTTATTAAAAAGAGAAATTTGTGGATTATTATGGCCTGATACATAATATTAAAAGAATATTGTAAATATTTTAAATTATTTATATTTTATTACAAAAAAAAAACAGTGTTGTAATTTGAACGGTCTTTTGTTTTGATGATTCATTCCTCTCTTTTAAAAATATTTTCCTAATATTCTTGCACTGTTTAAATGATATACACTAACGTCAAGCAAAACTCGGACACCATAGAGAATACATACTAAATTTAAAGAAAATCGAAATTAAAGTATAAAATATAAAATTTTTCTTACTAAATTATTCAATTAAAGTAACATTTTTCAGTAGTTGATTTTCGACGGAGTTAGCAAATTTTGAGTGAATCGATTAACCTTATTGAACTGATTTTGTTACTGAGTGTTTATTTAATAAAGCGAACAATTTCTGTACCAATATTAAAAAATGAATTTAATTAAATTTTCTCACTTTTCGAATTAAAATTCTCATTTATCTAGTTATATTCCATTTTTCCAATAAGATTAACTCAAAACAAAACAAATAACTGTGTTTTTTCGAAAAAATGAGGTAGCTACTATTCGAAAACAATATTTTTCACTTAAAAATTAAATTTTGCGGATACTTATATAATACTCAATCACTTTCTTTTCACCCATTGCTCACTCGTGTCAAGTTAAATTCAGATTATTTTAAAGTGTCCGAATTTGACTTGACACAAAGTGTGTGTTCACCCACAAAAACCCACAAAAAGACTTAAAAATGAGATAAAAAAAAAAATTTTATAAATTGCAAATGTAAAAAAAAAGAAATTTCCAAACATAATTTGCCGCCAAAAGAGAATTATTTTCTCGTGTGCTAACGATTCTAAAATTTCCTACTTTTTTTTTTTATTGTATTTAAAAAATAGTAAATCAAAACATTAATGGTACGGTTTAATCTGACTCAATTGGTTCATTTTCCCTACAAAATTGCTTACAAATAAAAAAAAATTAGTTTTTTGTACAATTTTATGTTTTTTTTCCTACTTTTTTTTATAGACGTTCCTATTTTTTTTTCTCTTATTCTTAAAATATGTCAAAATAATTCGATAGAATTTACAAATAAAGCAAAACTACAAAGAAAAAAATTTCTAAAATTCTGATCGGAACATGAGTTGTAAAATTATTTCAAAATTTTTTTTAACTCCTTTTTAGTGTTCGGTGCCATTTTTTCTCCTTATTTTGGAGTGAAATTTATTTAACGAGATGTTCGTGACTTTTGATTTTTTTCTACTTAATTTTTTTGCTTCATTTTGTTACTTTACTTCAGTTCAGTATGAAATTAATAAATTTTTTGTTTTTTAGTTCGATGATATTTCGTAAGCTAACAAGAGAAACACATTTATTATTGCCATCTACCGACCGAGAAAGAAAATATTCGAGTAAAATTAAAGCCAGAGCCGAAAGCAAAAAAATGAATAAAAGTGAAGGTGTAAATAACGATCATTATAGATCGATTGTTCAAAATAATGACAGGTTAACAAAGAAAGAAAAAGAAAAGAAAGAAGGAAATAAAAAATTTTTAACTCTCTTTTTTATTTTCTTTATTTTTCTTTTATTTTTATTGCCTATTTATTGCTAGTTATATTTCATAAATTGAAAAATTATGTTTAAATGTAGCTTGTCGTCATTATAACAATATATTAAGTGAATTTAAAGAATTTTGTGGCGGCGGCATTTTATTTGAAATGCTTTTTTTGATTAACGTTCAAATATAATTTGTAATCACTTAAACTGCGAGTTTATATATATAGAGCTTTATTATGTATGTGTGGGTATGCAGGCACTTGAAATAATATTAAATTTGTTTGCTTGTCGATTATATTTTAAAAAATAAATTTATAAACAATTAATAAATTGTGATGATCGCATTCATTTTTCGGAAGCCGAATATTGAAAGAAAGGTAAATGTCAATATTTTGACAATTTCAAGTAGGTATTTGTGAAAATAAAAAATTATATAATAAAAAATTATTGGAGGAAAAAAAATATGAGGAAGACAAGTAGAGATAGAAATATTTGTAGGTATGTACATAGGTATGTATGAAGATAATTTTAAATGAAAAATATGATTTTATTGAGAAAAATTGTGCTAGGGTACCTTAGGTTATATACGATCAAAGGGAATTCAATTATTAATAAAGAGTATTTATAGTAGGTGGTAAATGGCATAATTTCGGTTTAAATTTCATAACTCAGATACTTCAGATATGTACTTAAAGTTCTAATTCAAATCATAAAAAAGTTTTTTTGCACCATTACAGATTTGTAGGAACTAACTACTTAGTTTACTTTTCCAAATTTTTAATACTCGTATCTTACATTTTTCTATGTGAGCACTTAAAAAACAAGTTTGAAATGCTTTAGAGCCTTGAACATATTTTTGATTTTCGAACGTGTTTCTTTTGGGAAAGAGGTTCATCGAACATGGCTTTATGTTAAGATTTACATAAATTAGAATTGAATTTTCGAAAATTCCAATTACAAATAGACTTAGTTTGTTTGAAAATACAGTAAGTAGCACCTCTAGTACTAACTACGTGAACAAGTACAATATTTAACATAATCTAATATTATTATTTTATATATTCTTATAGAATTGTGTATCAAAATATTAACAACTATAATATTATTAATAGGAATTAAATTACTGATGTAATGATAAAAATAAAAAATTAATACATTTGTATATACATATATCTACAATTGAGAAACAATAATTGTGATTAAATACATTGAACCCTTCTTATCTTATATTAACAACTTATATGCTATACTTATTATAAACTTAATATAAATTTAAAAATCATGTTAAAACTTTTTTGGTAATACACATGATAACATATTTAATTCCATATTAATATAATAGGTTTGGATAATTTAAATTTAAACATTTACTTCAGCCCCCAACATTTGCTTTTAGTCCAAAATGTAGTTAAGTACTTTTAATAATTGTAGTGCTTACAATTTTCTTTTAAAAATTGACCTTAGGCTTTTGATTTCTTTCGCAAATTTTCAATTTGCCATATTTTTGCAAGTATTTGACAAAAAAAAGTTTGTATTATTTCAGGAAACGCATTGTATAAAGCAAACTAAAATAACGAAAAAAATTATTTATTGAAAAAAAAAATGCTAACAAAAATGAAATTTTTTTTCTATAATACTTGTATTCCATGATAAAATAATCCAGTAGTTTCATTAGTTCTACCAAGTGTCCAAATAGCTGATTTTGCAAAATCATTAACATCAGCAACAAAAAATCCAGTCTGAGTTAAATTTTTTGAAAATTTTGTCATATTTGTTCTAATAAATCCTGGATTAAGTAATTGTACTTCAATATTATAATTTTTTAATTCCCATTGTAATGATTTTGTAAATGATTTTACGAATGCCTTTCCAGCAGCGTACATATTATTAAGTGGTCCCGGACAATATTGACATAATGAACCTAAATTAACAATTAAACCACGATTTCTTTTAATCATCTGAATTATAACTAATCGTGTCATCATAGCAGTTGCTCCAATATTTAAAAGTATCATATTCCATATTTTCTCCTCAGAAATATTATGTAGTTTCTCAGGAAAATCATATGCCTGTCCTACATTATTTACTAAAATACCAATTTCAATGCCATCTAGTTGTTTCTTAATATGATCATAAATATTCCATCCATGACTGAAATCTGCTTCAATATATTTACATTGTACATTATATTCTGATTCTAAAATATTGTAAGAAAATAAATTTATAATTTGTACACAACTAAAAGAGTATTTAACAAAGAGCTGACCTATTTCTTTGGATGTTTCTACTAGTTTTTCCTTTGATCTAGATATTAAAACAATATTAAGTCCATTTTTCGCCAATTCTTTAGAATATGCTTTTCCAATGCCATCTGTTGAGCCAGTTATAACTTAAATTAGGAATGTAAACATTGTTAAAAAAATTTCCTATTTAGAGTTTTAATTTATCAACATACCAGCCCAATTCCCGTATCGTTCCTTTAAACATATTTTCTCTTTTGGATAAACATATTCTTTGAATAATGAAATTATTATACTAAAAAAAGATTTAAAATTATAATAAATATAAAAAGATATCGTAGCTGCACCAATAAACAAAACGAAATTGATTAATTCAATTGACATTTTAATTGTCACAATTTCTTTAAAATATTTTTATTTTTTTTTTAAGCAAAATTGCATTTCTTTCGTTCTTAAAAATTAAGAACATACTGAGTGAACATAATAAAGTATGAAAAATTCTAGAAATCAAAAATTTTTTTAACACTAAAACAAAAACTTAAAAAAAAAATAGAGGAAGCTACTCATTTTACACTCATTTTACACTCACAACAATTCAATTCCATTTATTTATAGAAAATAATTTATAAAATGAACTTTGTACAAAAAAATATCAATAGCGCGATAATATTTTGTTTATACAATGTGAGATATAATATTGAAAGATAGGAAATTCTAATTTCAATTAGGAGCAAATTTCCTTTACTTTTTTCTCGACATTTTTAAGCATATAAATTTCCTATCATAACAAAAAATTCTTATCAGAGTTTATGTTGCCGGTAGACAATAACGACTGCCAGCACAGTAATATAAATTTAAAAAAATAGGTGTTATATTGTGTTAGCATACAATTTAGCTACATTACAGTACTTTTGCCACTCCGATTCTGAAACGGCTTTATACAGAGTGGCTTCCAATTCGTAAAACTTTTTATCATTTTTTACTTTTTCATAATTTGTGATAAAGAATTTGAGTTGATTTTGTGCATATCTATATTATTGCAAACGTATTATCAGTGATAGGTGGAGTATTCATACGTTAATCGATTATAATACTCAGGTATTATAGTTGGATTGCTGAATAAATTAAATTGACATTAAATTTACATTTTGACACATGCTTTTTTTTTAGTTTAATTTTCTAAAGCGATCGTTGCACATACAAGACTCAATTTTAAAATGTAAATAGTCAGAAGTATTAAAATAACATTCAAAAGACAAACCAAGTGAAATTTTAATTGTTTTGATTGCTTGCTTGCAAAATAGTTTTAAGTGGTTTCTTTTTGAACTTTGACATTTTAGATAAATTTTGTATTTTGGTTACACTTTGTGTTTTTTGTTTGTATGAAATATTATATAAACTTCCATACTAAATTTTTTTTGGTAAATTTTTTGATTATTTTTGTCGAATTCTCTTGCATGCTTATTTGAGATCAAAATTCTTTATCTTCAAAATGAATGAGTACTTTTGTGAAAATTTTACAAGTTCTGTTCTCCGATAAAGTAAATTTGATTACTTATTTTTCTTATGGTTAAGTAAAAAAATTTTTTATGTAACTAATTAATATTTATTAATTATTATGAGTAAATAAAAATTCTCAATAGGTAAAAAGTAAAATTTTTTTTTTTTCATTTGGCCTTTATCCTCTCAAAATGAATTTTAATGTTAGACGTAAGGTCTAATAGTAAAAATTAAACAAATATTTTACAATAATATTTATTTTTAACACTTACACTATCGATCTTATAGACACTTCCAATTAAATAATGACTCCTCAGATATTGTATACATAAAATTTAATATAATGTAAATATTTCAACATGTAAATATGAAGTGTGTAAAGAGAGTGAGAGTGCAAAAGTGAAATAACTCAAAATTCATTAATTTTCTCAGTAATGTTTGAAATTTTTTTGTTCATTTTGTTTTAAATATAAATTTCAACAAAATTACGTGTACATATTATGTAAAATATACTGCTATGGCGAGAAATGAAATCCAGAATTTAGTTATGCGATCTTTTGCGGTTGATATTTTTTCAGTAAATTTTTAATATAAAAATTGACGTATTATTAAATTAGAAAATGCAATTTTTTAAATTATTACAATTTTTGTAGCGATCGAACCATATACACTTTTAAAAATTAACAAATTTATATTAGCGTTTAATTTACACTAGGTTTCAATTTCAGAGATTAATGCAACGGATTAAAAATACATTCGAAGAGATGAAAGCACAGATGAATTTAAGAACATTTACAAAGCAGTCAAAATTGATTATTAAGAGCAATATAAGATAAAATACTTTTAGAATATTTGCAAGAAGATTAATGACGATTTCTATTTACTGTGGATATAAAATAGCAGTGGAAAAATTTAGTTTATTGTGTAGTCGCAAAACACCAAATTCCGGGGAAAGTCATGGAAAAGATATAGTAAATATTTTTTCTCCAATACGTTCGAATTTAATAATTTTTTTCCATGTGATAAAAGCCTTTGATTCTGTTGACAGAAATATTTTCCTAAAAACTAGCTATAACTTGAGTTCAAAAATTACATAGCGAATAGATAATATACAAAATAATATGAAAAATATATACACTTTGAAATTTCAGTAATTGATTTTGGAATTATTAGAGAGGAAATTATCTTGGTTTAACATTATTCAACTGCTATGTAAATGAATCAGCAGAATTTCTTTAATTGGAAAAAGCACGCAAATAATTTATTTCATTTCAGTATACTCACAGTAATGCAACAGCGATAACTACACAGTAATGCAACAGTAAGCATTAAATATTGAGGGTGCCCCATCTCTATAAAAAATTCTACCACTTATACTAGTCAACGCAGGAACAAATAAAAATCACCTACAAAGTAACTAATTGCCTTCAATAATAATATTTTTGAAGTTAAATTTCATTTCTAAATTTAATTGCGCCTCTCGAGTATACTATGCATAGAATAATATACTGTAATGAACTTCTTAATTCTCTATTTTCAATGATGTTTAGGTTAGTTAGCTTGCATATTACCAATACATATATATATATATATATATATATATATATATATATATATTAAGGAAATTATGAAATTTTCAATTAAAGTAAAAGCAATAAATCGAATAAAATGTCATTTTACAATATTTGACCAGAATATAAAAAGGAATACTTGCAATATGTAAGCACCTATAAAGAAAAAAAATCTTTTGTTTTCAATTACAAATTTTCCCCAGTCCATTTTCAATATTATTTTCCAAGTGATTTATGATTTTGTATTTTATTTCACTAAAATTTGTAACATGAGTTATCAAAAATTTATGAAGAATAGAAAAGTATTTTTTGTTTTCCTCTAAATATAGAATGTAGAGAAATTTTTTGTTTTTTTTTGGGAAATAGAAAGAAGAAATTCAATTTCTTATTTGGCTTAAAAATTGTTGCAAAGGTAAAAGAAAAAACCAAGTTTGATATTTAGGTCTTGGATTTTCTTTTTGTTGTCTTCTTTAAATAAATTTTAAAAAAAAGACAGTAAATTACTTAGAACATTAAAAAATAGCAAATTTTTTTTTTCATTTTGAAACAAAAATGGTTTTTTTTTTCACCTTTTTGTTTTTTTTTTTTTTTGTATTCTTGTGAAAGTTGTGACACAATTAAAAATTACTTCATTGTGTAATCAGAAAAATTGCATAAGGCAACAAATAAATTTTGTTTTTAATTCTTATTTTGCCCGCATAAAGATTTTTGAATAATTTTTTAAATTTAAAATTCTTCATTTTGTGCCAATTTTTTTTTACAAAATAAAATTATAATAAAAAAAGCCAAAGAATTAGATGTAAAAAAAAATTGCATAAAATAAAAAAAAAAAGATATTTAGAGAAAATTTAACAGAAAAAATGAATGACCTTAGTAATTAGATCCCTGAAATATGCAATATTGAAATTATGAAATGCAAAATTTGCAAGTGTATAGAGTGATTCAGTTCGATTCTTTAACATATACCAGCATTAAAAATGGATAAAATTTAAAAATACACAAAAGATGTGGTGCATATAAAATCAAATGAGACAAATTCTACATAGGACAAATGAGTAGAACAGTTACAACAAGGCTATAAAGGAAGAATTAAGTGCGAGATGAAACATAACGTACGAGGAATATAGAAACCAAAAGGAAATTCGATTTAATGATTGCGAAACACATTTACGAAATGGATCACAAAATTAAGGAGGAGTACTTAAAGATTATAAAAGATGGGAAGCGATGATATAGGAGAGAAGTTTATAGAAGTATTGAAATATTCAAATCTAATAGGTATCAGGTATACTATTTGAAATATAAATAGATTATATTTTTGTCGTTGTTATTTGAAGATAGCCAGCTTTGACGAAATTTTTACTCGATTTCGAATATGGGGGATTTGTAAAAAAGCTTACAATTTCAGAAAAATTTTCAATTAACTTTTTCAATAAACATTTTTTAAAATGTATACTTCTCGAACATAATTTGGAAAGGCCGCCTGTTCTTGTCAAATCCGATATTAATTCGACAAACAGTTGTTGGGTAATCGGGACTTTTCTCAATGATTTTTTTTTCTTTTATATTACATACATATGTACTTAAGCATTACTCGATTGGAAAAGAATAATTTAAGATCAATCTTACTTTGATTTAAAAAAATTTACTTTGCTTTAAAAAACATCCAAAGATGTAGCATTAAAGTCAATTTATTGGAAAACATTTTTTATTCTCTTTTTTTTGATTTTTATTTTGATCAACAAGTTAATAATGAGATGTGAACTTTAAAAACTTTACTTGTAGGTTAAAGAAGTTAATCTGCATATTTTGAAAATTTGTTCAAGTGGAAAAATTTGTGTTTAATACATAATTATGTAAGTAACTACCAACATATACATTTTTCTGTATATATATGTATATCTAATCGTTATGCACGAATAATTTAATATTCTGTTGATATTTTTGTAATACAAAATTTGAACATTATATTGCTATTGATAAAATCTATGTAAATGAAGTTAAAAAAAAATTGAATTTGTGTTCATGAACTTGTGTTTTTTCTTCATTTTGTAAAAATTCTTATGTATAATACCTACATATGTTCGTATGTAGTAAATTATGTCGCTATATTACAAAGATAGATCTGATAAGGTTAATTGTTCTTGTATATATAGGGAAACATTTAACTTACATACCTTTTAACTTATAAACATAAGCGATTTATAACTTAGTTAAACAAGAGCCGTCAACACAACTGATCGCTATGGAAAAAAGAACACAACCGATGTTCATAGCTATGGAAAAAATTTGTTTTCGAATTGAAAATGAATTGGGACAAGTATATTTGATAACTCTTCAATTTAAATATGAATTTTTTTAAGCATCGAAATTCAACTAAATTTTTTGTTTTGCTAAATTTAACTAAATTTTGCGATTATAA